TTAACGTAGCATCTGAATATGTAATGATATACAGGGCGTTCTATTTTAAAAAATGGAATTTTGGTCTGTAGCACCTACACCAAACACCCTGTATATTTAAAAATTATATCAAAATATAGCTCTCATGAACTCCTAAAACTTTTGTATGAAACATTTTTGTGTATCTCCTTCAACAAACCAGATATTGCCTGTCACATAAAATGTGGGACACCCGGTATAATGTCTGGGAGAGGACATAGAAAGTAGAAATAATTTTTTGTTACACATTATAGTTGTTGTTATAGAATTTATGAGTGAGATATTGAAAAAATACTTTTCACAAAAAAGAAAAAACAAAATCTTGTCAAGTTTTAAGCAAATTGGTGGTGAAATGCCATGAAACTATATCGGTTCAAAATGAAAAGAGGCAAGGTGAAACTTCAGCACTTAATGAAATATTGAGACAAATTGCAATGAATAATTCGTACAATAACATTGGTCACTGCGACGGGTGAGTTGTACAAATGTCCGGCCAATATTGAAAAAAGTACCAGTTTCATCCGTGTAAAATTAGTCATATGAAATTTTACCTAATTATAAGTGTATAGGCGATGAGAAATGGTAATTTTCAATTCATTGTGTTTTTCACAAATATTTTTTCAACATTGTAGTAAGTCTTCATTATTGAGCCGACAGCAAATTATACTAGATTGGTAGGAAAGCTGGCATGCGGCCTGTTTCACTGCGACCTTTGCAGATCTATTGTGATACTCTTTTATATATCTTATAGCCTCTGGTTTCGCAATGCTAACGCTTCGTATTCACATAGCACGTATAGTGCAGTTTATTTTACATCCCGGCAGAACCTGCACGGAGTTTCTTCCGCCAGGCCCTAATACTCATATGATTCATGAGTCGACAATGCATTGTTAGTAGACTTATCATTACCCTTACAACATGGCGGTTATGGTTTAGCAGGTCTTCAGTGAATTTGGGCGAGGGTTCTTTTATGAACTATTTCGCCTACCTCATTCCTGGAAGCTTCTCCCACCAATTTAGCTTGCACCCACGAATTGATACATGTATTTATGCTTGTCTTCGCCATATCACAGAAGGGTTCTGGAGCAATCATGGTCTTGGATGCACATTCACGGGCTAAAGCGTCTGTTTCCTTATTGCCCTTCTGTCCTTCTGTGTCCCGGTATTCAAGCTAGGGTAACCCTATTGTGAGAACCTAGCTCATTGAGTGCGCTACGACAGCTCCTTACACGTCACGAACAGACTTGGTAGGAGCTGAGAGCTTGAATTGCCGCCTAGCTGTCGGAGAAAATGGTAATGGTTTTGTTTTCAACCTTCTTCCTGAGCAATTCTCCTATGCAGTGTTCGAGAGCGAAAACTTCTGCCTGAAACACTGTTGCGTTCTGTCCGAGGCCGAGTGCGATTCTCGTCTTCGCTCTGCAGATCACAATACCTTGTGTGTGCTAGTATTTTTTTAAATCACCATCTGGGCCCCATTTTTCTTCATGGAAATTCAACAGCTGTTATGTGCCTGGATTTATTCCAAAACGCTACTGACTCTGCTGTTACTGATATAAAAAATAGAATGATTCTACATACATTAAAGAAGAAATATTGTTTCAATAAGACCGTGCTCCTCCAAATTACTCAACTTAGTGGTTTACTCCGTCATCCAACTGAAATCCTTAAGATTTTTTCGGGATGAATAAAAAACAAACTGTATCATATTTCAGCTGACATGTTGCATAAACCATCACAGTATGTCGCAAAAAACAAGTTTGCCTTGACGGTGAACCAAATACCGTTTTATCAGGACGAAACAGACTCTTTTTATTCATAGTTTGTTGTTCAACAAAAGTAATAAAAATATTTAAGATCAAAAAATCAATTTATATTGAAAGGACATTTAACATTCATAAAGGTATATTGTATAAATGGTCCATATATTGTTAGATCGGAAAATACTCCTGCATGATTTCCTATATTACATCTTCAAGAGTATCCTCTAACCATTATTTTCTGAATAATGAATACTCTTTCAATATCAGGACTGCTTCCCCAGAGCAAAACTTCCCCTCTTTATATTTTCTATATTTAACGTTGGGGGAATCATTTTAGTTGTCATCTATCTATATTTCCTTTGACACAGGAAATATAGCCGTTTCCAATTGGGACAATTATTCAACTTTTAGGCAAAATTTATGAGTACGAGAATTTGCCGACTAATTGGATTATTTAATGGTTTATATAATGCAGTAAGTTTTCAGTTTGTCCTTCATTACACTTCAGCAGAATCTCTTTCGATTCAGCTTTGTTCATTTTTCAGATCGTGGAAGGTTATACACTTTAAAAACAGTAAGAAACATTGGTGGTATACTTAAAGGTCTGTAATTTCTCATGAATTCGTCGTTACCCTTTTTGTGTATAGATTTCACCAGAGACGGCTTCAGTTGTTTGGGATACCATTTGGAAACTTTAATCTTCAACCTTATCATTGCCTAAGTATATCATTTCCTTCATTTTGATCATTTGAACATTTTCAAGGTTTGATACTGAAGACGTCCCTAACCCTGTTGCTATCTATGAGTCATTCATGTTTTCATTCACTAATTAGCAAGGATTTCCTTACTAGTTTACTTCGTTTCGCCCATAGCTGTATTTTTGCTACTTTATTATAAAAAGGTTTGTTGTGCATTTTATCATTGTGTTTTCTATATTGCATTGTTTCTGGTAGGGCATTGATTTGTTTCAATAATTTGTTTTTTAATAAGGTGAACTTATCCTTTTCCTCGAGAAGTTTTCGAAAATTTTCATTTTCTGACATGAAATCTACCTTTGAGATCACTTTAGAAGGTGAAATACATTTCAACACACAACACATAGTAATAACTTGTGTTGGCAGCATTCAAAACTTTTATTTTTGAAATTATCCTGTATTCTATGAGCACTACTTTTTCACTATCACTCTCAGTTGACACCATTTCATTACTCTACTCTAGCTCTATACAAAATTTCAGAAAGATGCAACTACTTTCCACAAACAAAAAGGGTATGTTCGTATGTTATCTGAAAAGAAAATGAGTTTCGCCTGACAAGGTTGACTCATTTTTCGAAAACTAAACATATTAAAATTCATTTTTCACCTAGCAGAATTTAACCCCACAAGATTCAGATATAATTACAATTTTTTTTCATTCTTCGCACCTCTTGTACCACTGATTCTGAGATTGCGATGAGTTAACTAAGTAGTGTTATCAACTTGCCTACACATGTATTACCAATAAGATTCTGAGATGTCGTGAATTTCCATTTGAATTATCAGAGAAATATCACTGGGGTTTTTACCTGAATCCGAGTCGGATGAAGAATAAAAGCTTCCTTTTTCATTATTCCAGTCATGAGTGACATTTGGTTGGATTACGTAGCCATCCTCATCAACTTCTTGTGCAGAAGGATCAGTTGTTTCAGTAGTCATTTGGCTTTTTTGAGAATCGTCCTTTTCCTCCCTAATTGAAATTATATTATGAACAGTAAAAACATTTTTTTAAGTGTTTGTAACAAATTCACTAGTCATAGTTATACTTAAATGACTAGCGTGAAGACCGCTGCTATTTCAAATCTGCCGTTTTGTGTTCAGTTGCTAAACCAGTGTGTCAGGTATTTCTATCCGTTCATAAAAAAATATTGTAGTGTTGAACTCACATTCTCAGGTAGTGTAACGATAGTAAGAGATACTATTTGTTTACTCATGTAACCGTATATTTTTAATCAACTATTTAATGAACAGCGATTCAATAACGTTCATTGACAACGATCATCATAGGAAAAAATAAAACTCGAAAGCCATCTGAGGGGGAGAGATGCAGACGAATTTTTGGAAAAAATAGGTAAGACCAATTTCAAAATATTTTCCCAAAAGATAAGAACACTACTAGGAGCTATCCCTTATAGATATGAATGACTTGCAAGCTGTCTAAAAGGTGGAGTTGCATATGAATTTTCGGTAAAATCAAATTGTATCAACTCTCAGTAATAGATTCTCAGTAATAGATAAAACCACTACTAAGAGCATTCCACAATATTATGAATGACTTGCAAGCCATCTGAGGGGTAGAGTTGAAATGCAAAAATAAGAACCCCAATTTGTGAAGAAAACAAATTAATATGATTCGATATCGAAACACAATGGGAGAAATATCGATAATATGCAAACAAAAAAAAATTCAATCAATCAATATCGTTTTACTTTGGTTTATGGTTGATGTTATATATTCCATTCTGATCATTCCCATATTGATTTCAGCTTAAGAGCCACTGGTAGACAGCTGTTTCAGCCTATTAGGCATCGTCAGTACCGGGCAGGCGGTCCTCGATTGAAGACAAAATGGGAAAAACCAAGAAAAGTACTTAATAAAAATAACTGTGTAAACGCAAGCGAGACATAAGTGGAACCACCTATTGGTGGTCAACTTGCCAAGTTTTTATGTCAGTGTTGGTGGTTTGACCAATCAACCGACAACTGCGGTGGCAGAAATTTGGGGAGCTAACCTGGAATGTCAAGATAAATAAATAAGTACTTGGGTGTCACACCAATAGGTGGTTACACTTATGTCTCGCTAGCGTTTACGCAGTTAGTTTTATTAAGTACTTTTCTTGGTTTTTCCCATTTTGTCGAGGACCGCCTGCCCGGTACTGACGATGCCCAATAGGCTGAAACAGCTGTCTACCAGTGGGTCTTAAGTTGAAATCTATATGGGAATGATCAGAATGGTACTTATTTATCTTTTGATTTTAATGGAATTATTTTCCAGCAGCTTGACTGCAATAACCTTTCTCGATTTCATATCATATCTATAAACATGTGGATTAGTTTTTCGATGACATTTCAGGTTAGCTTCCCAAATTTCTGCCATCGCAGTTGTCGGTTGATTGGTCAAACCACCAACACTGACATAAAAACTTGGCAAGTTGACTAGGGTGTCACACCAATAGGTGGTTCCACTTATGTCTCGCTTGCGTTTAAGCAGTTATTTTTATCAAGTACTTTTCTTGGTTTTTCCCATTTTGTCTTCAATCGAGGACCGCCTGACCGGTAATAG